GAGAGTAAATTTAATATATTTGGTTCTGACGGTAGAATCTTGGTGTGGAGAAAACCCAGGGAAGAATTTCGCAAACAGAACTTGGCGCCAACAGTAAAACATGGTGGAGGGGGAGTTATGGTATGGGGGTGTATGTCGTCCGCTGGAGTTGGTAATCTTGTTTTTATTGACAGTATAATGGATCAGTACAAGTATATTGACATTTTAAATCAAAATTTGAAATCTTCAGCACGAAAATTGAACCTTCATAATGATTTTAAATTCTACCAGAACAATGACCCCAAGCACACTGCTTTGAACGTTAGACTCTGGCTGCTGTATAACTGTCCTGAAATAATAAAAACACCACCACAATCTCCAAACTTAAATCCCATAGAGAATATTTGGCAAGAATTGGAATCAAGAATTCGCAAACACACACCATTTCTTCAAAACAACAATTAAAATCGGTGCTTCAAGAAGAATGGGGTAAAATCACTCCAGAAATCACAAAAAAAATTAGTGGAATCCATCCCAAGAAGATTAATCATGTTTTAAAAGTAAAAGGAAATCCAACAAAATATTAAAACCTTTTAAAAAGTAAAATTTTTGGATAAATATTTGATGGAAAAGTAAGTGTCCCATCACTTAAGTGAGCCATTTTCTGCTCCGTTCTAAACAATTGTATTTTATTAAATTAATATTTTAATATTTTGAGAAAATGTATGTTATGTAATAATTGTTACTAAATTTAAGTATGAAATACACCCACAAAAATTTTTACATGTTTTTAAAATTTATTTTATTGCAGTTTCCTTTTGTAAAGCACAAGTGTCCCATCACTTTTTTGAGACACTGTATATATTGGCGAGAGAAACTAAAAGTTTGCGTGCAATGCAGTATATTTGACTTTCACCTTAGCTACGTGCAGTGTATTCGGTTTTTTCACCCTAGCTACGTATATCACGGCTAAAGGTCTAATTCAGTTAGTACTTTCTCTTTTCAGATACGGTGTCAAAGTATGTTCCTGTTTTTTCTTATTGCCTAAATAGGTATGCTTGAAGATGTGACATATATTTGTATGTAAGTTATCTCCTTTTCGATAATTCAGTGTTTTAGTGTCTGTGAAGATTATTACTTTTTGTTATGCTTAAGTTAAGCAAAATTCTCCTATTTTATTAAATAAAGGTTTCGTAGTTAATTTTTTGACTTATGATTCTTTAATGAAAACTGCTCCTGAGGAAACTTACTTATTACGCCTCCAGTGCTAATGCACAAAAGCAACAATTACGGTATTTGGAAATGCCATTCTGAAGAGTCCGTTTTAGAATAAACTGCAAAAGTCCAAAGCAACTGTCCTTCCACCCCTCTGTTTCATCTTTTCAAGCAATAATGGATGTAAAATTCTGAAGTATTTCTCTCTCTCTTTCATCCAGGAATTATTACTTACTCGTGGCATTCGCATTTTTCATTCAGAAGTTTGGATAGAATGAGAACTGCATGATAAGAACGTGAAGCTGTTGGAATCTTGTGATTTCTTTCAATATTCTGTCCGGTGTAAAAAAAAATTCTTTTCTCAATTCAATTTTGCACACGAATTTAACAACTCATAATTCTTCTCCTTACTAACGGCGGAGTGGATAAGATGGCTGAATACTAGTAGTTCAAATTGGGGTCGAATCTCAAAGAACAGATTGACTGCATGAGTGGTTTAGTTGTTTATCCTATATGTAGCGTAGGTATCGTTGTATTCACGTAAACATGACATGAAAACGTTCCAGTTATGTATCTTTCATGGAGTCCTTCACGAAGGCATTCTTCCTTAAACAGATAACTGTAGTGAAATTTGCTATAATCGAATTTAATTCTAATCCTTCTTTCTACTTATACGAGCCATACGACTAACCCCTAAAAATTATGTTTCGCATGAAGGATGTCACCAAGGTCAATACACCTGCCTTCTAGTGACAGCAGTGGAATAACTAGATGATTTGATTTGGCAAGGCATTCGAGAGCTTTCTGCCTGAAGGGAGGGATGCCTTCGTGGAGGACATTTTAAGGGAAACTGCTTTGTATATACGTTACACATAGGGAAAACCACGAAAACACCCGTGCAGCCAGCCCGTTCGCAGGATTCAAACCTCATACCGAATTACCAGTGTTCAATGACTTTACCGCTCGGCCTCTGGCGGGCCTTGGATTAGTTAGAAAGAGTTCCATAGAAAGCTATAACATTTATTGATAAGACTAATGTTATACGTGTAAGTGAAGAATTATCTTTTAACAAAGGCTTAAACTGCTATTTCATGATGCGTGAACTGATGCTTAGATGATTATAAAGAAATACTTGCTTTTGTATAATTGTTAACCATGTTATAAACGAAGTTAAAAACTATGCTATGTGAAATGTATTATATTATTTTTATCATGGCTAGATTTTGGATAATTTAGCAATCTAATATGGAAACTTGTAGTCGTCTAACTAATTGCTTTATTCGGGTGAAAATGTTTCAGACTGTTTATTAATGCTGAGAATAATTGTAGCGTATTCCAAACAAAGCACAGGAAACAATTTCTTTGCAATATGCATAATATGAATTCTAATGTCATACCAAAATATAGTTTCTCTATCAGTGTCTTCCGTGTTAACGAATAGTAAATGGATAAAAACAATTTAGATTAACATTAGAATAAACCATTTTCTACTTACTTTAGGTGAAAAGTTCAAGCATGGGAGTCATCAACAATAGATAATTATGCTGAGCATGGAAGTATGTTTTTGATTTTGATGCAACAATTAATTTATAATGCTGTTCGAAAACGTTTCTCAATTATCACTATCGGTTATCACATAAATCAAAGTGTTACATAAATGAGAACGTGTAATGTCGTCTGTTTTAAAGTGCATTACTGCAGTTTCTGTTCAATTGATATTCTTACACAAATACAGAATGGGTTCGAATCACATTCTATTCATGTCAGAGCTGACTGGCAGAAACATTTCAGTTTTCTTGTCACATTACGCTATTTCAACATTAGTCATTCATGTAGCGTTACAAGCTGAAAATTCTGAGAACTGTTTTCATAAAACCTTTGATTCATCTGCCAGGTTACCAGTATAATAAATTGAGCAATTTGAAAACATGAGCTTAATAAATGTAGTTTATCTGCATAATTAATGGTGCAATTTGAAAAGATCTATATAACTTCTGGTAATTTACATATTTATTTTATTTTTTCTTTCACGTCATAAAATTTTAATATATCAGTTGTTTAATAGTTTAAAAAGATCAGCCATTTAAAAATAATATTCTTTTTAATAACAATTTTTTGTTTATATAAGTATTAACAATAAAATGTTCGTAAGTATTGTTTATAGTATTATATAATATATCTAATTGATAATTTCTAAAGAAATGCTCAAGTACTATGCTTAACAATAATATATATATATATAATGCCATATATTATATATCTTTATTAATATAGCATTTACCAAACGTAATTACCTACCTATTTTCCGGTAAATATACGATACAGGTTATCGCAGAATTTTTTTTCCCATTAAGCGGAATCGGGAGGTAAATAAATAGAATTAATTTTGGTAGGAGCTTAAATTTAAGAAGCTTAAGATTTTCGAAATATTGAAATTCAGGACATGAGGGCAAAAGGAAGCAATTATTTTGATTATTTTCCAAGTCTGGAATAAAATGCTGTAAAATGACATCATTTAGTAACTTATGGCTAACTACGCTGGTGAAATAAATTAAGAGAATTTTCACATTTGATCTACGATCTCCAGAGCTACTGGACAGATTTTAATAAAATTTAGTGTGAACATAGGTTGATATAATACAAACAAAATAAACATTCAACAATTATAATAGGCACACAAAAAATGGGTTAATAGGGGGTATGGTTCCCTCTTACAACCATACAGGCCTCGCAGTGTGATGTCATACTGGAGATAAGGCAATTTATCAGTGCCTGTGGCACTTGGTCCCACTCATTCAACAACGCTGTTTTCAGTTCCTGGATGGTTCTCGGAGTGGGGTTGAGAGTTGCAGTTGCCCTCCCCAGAGCGTCCGAGACATGCTCCGAGACTATAGGGTTGAGGTCTGGAGAACTGGCTGGCCAATCCAGCCGGCGAATATCCTCACTCTGGAGAAATTCGTCGAGCAGAAGAGCTCTATATGGCCTCGCGTTATCGTCCTGTAAGATAAACTCGGGGTCCACTGCACCCCGGAAAAGTCGAACAAACGGCTCCAAGATCTCATCCCTATACCTCACACCAGTCACAGAGCCTCTATCAAAGACTTGGAGATGTGTGGTGTCATCCAACATGATGCCTGCCCAGACCATTATTGTTGATTTCGTGGACATTGGATTGTAGGTATCTGGTCCCTGTCTCTCTCCACATGAAAGTACGGCGAGAATCGGTGTTTAGGCTTAAAAGGGACTCATCGGTGAACAGAACGGTCGCCTATTGCTCCAATCAATATGCTGCCTGCACCATGCTAATCGAACTCTCTAATCGAGCTGGCTAACAACCCTCTCTCATTCAGTATTTTTGAAACAGTCACCCTTGTTACATGGGTTCCTGCCGCTGCATACAGGTCCCGAGAGAGCTAAGAAGCTGTAGCCCCCTCTAGCCTCCCCACAATTCGCCACCTCATTCCATCATCTAAACGTTGGTGGTTACTTATTTTTACTATTTCGGTGTGAATTTGACCTAACGCTGCAAGATAACACCAAGAAACTCGCCGAGGTGTGGTAGCAAACGTAATTCGTCTTACCCTAAACGCGGTTATAAAGCCTGTTTTTCTGCTGGCTTCGCCTACATACATGTGTACACTTGCGTATTTGTCGTACAAGACTTGCAATTTTATCTAGAAGCAGTGGTTTTTCCTTTAGTTTAGTTTCTTTCATGCAATTCGATAAAATATGCAAATTCTCTTAATTTATTTCAACAGTGTAGTTATGGCTGTAAAAATACTGCGACAAATTTCAGTAAAACTTACAGCTCTTACTTCTAGGTTCTCGGGGTCCATCCACGGTGATCTTAATTGCTTTGGTATAGGTCGCTACTTGTGGAGGGTTGGAACTCACTGTGATGATCAAAGTAAAACTTTTGCCTGCCAAAAGAAAATTAAAAATTAGAGATCTTTCATTCAAGTAAGCTCTGTACGTTGTATAAAGTTATACAGTGGAACCTCGAGATATGAGTTTAATTCGTTCCAGCATTGAGCTCGTATAGCGAATTTCTTGTATCTAGAAACAAACTTCCCCATTGAAAATAATGAAATTATAGTTAATCCGTTCCGCACCCCAAAAAATATCAACATAAAAATTAATTTTTCTAATAAATAACAATCCTAAATAATATAACCGTAGTTTACCTTTATGATAGCTTCCGACACCGACCTTAACTGCTTCTCGTTAATCCACACCAACAATACCTTCTCAAAAGCTTCTAGTAGTTTTGGACGGTGCTTGAAAGTAACGGTAACTCCTTTACCTACATCAAGTTTTTTAATTTTTTCCTTCTTCTTCAGAATAATGCAGATCGTCGATGTCGAAAGGCCGTAAGTCTTCGCCAATTCCTCCACTCTTACACCTAGCTTATGTTTATCTATGATTTCTTTCTGAATTTCAACGGCTATGGCTTCTTTATTTTTCTTTGCAGCACTATCTGAGGCAACAGTCTTCTTGCGAGGCTTCGTGAAATAATTATTTTCACGTTAAATGTAATTAACAATTACCTCACAAGCGCACAGACACGTAGATAAAAAAACACTGAGTGATCTGACGAGGGGATTCTCCGAGTTGAGACGGATCGAGAAATGGCGCCACGCATACCAACAGCCTGGCTCATTGCTCGTTACTCGAGTCAATGCTCGTATTTAGAGACAAATATTTCGCTCACACTTTCTTCGTATCTCGAATTTATCTCATGTAGCTCTTATCTCGAGGTTCGACTGTATTAGTTTATCAATAACAAAAATATTAAATTAAACAGGACTTCGCGCCCATTTGCAAAAAATGCCGAAGTATAATTTTCTTTTGCTGTTGTATTGATTATAGCAATGAAATTAATTTATTATATGCCCAAAACGTGAAATTCTCATCAGTTAGTTAGCATCCTTTCTACCGCAACAAAAGTTAAGTTGATATTTGTTACACGATGACCCTTTGCATCCTAAAGAATACAAGTGTTAGCTAAAATGAAATTCACTTAATGTACTCATTCTTTTGCACCGGTCATTGCAAAGGAACGGTAGCTATAATGAGCCACCTATAATGAGCTATAAGAGCAATGACTTTAGAAAGAAATACAATTTTTTAAAAAGTCTCTGTGTTATTTATCCAATATAAAATGGCTGATGTTTCTCTCCATTTTTTTCACCATCCTTTAGAAGGACATATGATTTAAATAAAACTGTGTCAGTTTTGAGGACAACCCGACATAGGCCCTTTCTTTAGGAGCAAGAATCTTTTTGTGCAACTGAAGGAACCGGATCTGTGCCTGATCATCCTCGAAATCAATAGAGTTTTATTCAAATCCCATGCTAATCTAAAGCTGTTTTTTATCTAATTTTACTCTTTATATAGATATATTTCTCTTCCAGTCTCATCTTTTGTATAATGCGATGCTGAAGTAATTGTATTTTGAAATCAGATCTTAAAATCGTTTCATAAAAAAGACGTTTTCAATTATTGAAAATATTATAGATCAAGTTTTTGGAACTCTTAATTTTTTTTTCATATAGACGGGAGCAGTTGAAAACTTTTGAAGACCTTTCGTAAGGACCAGGGGTCGACAAATACTTTTTGGAAAGGGTCTGATCGTAAACAATTTAGACTTCGGCGGGCTAGGCAGCGAACTCGAAGGTAATTTTACTGTTACAGGGAAAGAAAGCTAAAAATAATTTTTTTTGGAAGAGATATTTTTACGTAATATTTATGCACATTTTATTTTCATTCCCATACACAAAATAAATAAAATATTCTTCTTTATTTATAATCATGTTATAGAACAAGTTAAATTTTGTACGAATGTGATGAATATTAACTGTTTGTTCTGAGATAAAATCTCATCATATTAGATTTCGGAATGATTACTTGCTATCAATAGAGTCCTTTTGGTCAACTGTTAAAATGATCTGTATTGCGATTTTACATACTTTATTTTCGAGAATGTGCTTTTATGCTGGTACGTACTCTCAGATACATATATAAGTCGCGGTGCATATGGTTTTAATTGAGAGTATTTTTCATTAAAGAAATATTTATAGACTCGTGCTAGATCCTTTTCTTTAAATATAATTTTTAGCGTATCATTATTTTGCAGATTATTTACTTCCCACTGAAGATTTGACGCACGTTCCTCAGTTGAACTTGAACAGTCAAATGGATTTTGATATACGGAAATAAATATCTTTTGCACTTGTATTAAAAAAAAATCTGAAAGTTTTCAGATTTTATACGTCCAAAGGGGCGTTTTTTAACATTTTGTGTGGTACCTTTATTTATTAAATATCATGCTCTTCGTACTTAAACCATAAAATTCAGTTCAAAAGCAATATCTCAAAATAATTTTAAATTGAGCACATCTTTAAAATTTCCGATACACAGTCTCACGCGCTGGAGATAAAAATCTTTTTTCTGAACAACGTTGCTATTGCTCGCTTTGAAATCCTTGAGTTTGTTAATCAAAAATTCAATAAAGTTTTAGAAAATATGAAATCGGTAATAAATTCCAAATTTCAAATTTGGATTCCCAAATGCCCATAATTCGCAGTAGGATTACGTCATTGAAAATTTGATGGCTCTAGGTACCGTTGTTTCATCACGATGCGAGAAACATACATATATTTATGCAGATTCTTCATTATTTAATTTCTTCAAATATAATGCAGGGTAATTATATTTGGTGGCAAACAGTTTGAATAGTGAAACGAAGATTTAGAGTGATTCGACGCAAAATCGCAAAACGAAAACAATAGTTCCTCAGGGACAAAGCTCCTTTGGACTAAAAACGCTCTTGTAACTATATTTTAAGCTCAGGAAACATATCCTTGGCGAATATATTGGGAAATGTGTATTTCGTTAATATTTGAAATTTATGACATCGTGGAAAATTGACAAAATTGTTTAATTTGATTAATGTTTCAAAGCATGCAAATTTTCTGCAGTGTGAAAGATAGAATGCATTTCACATATGAGCACTGTTTTCTCCTGTAATTTTTAGTTAAATTTGCGTTGCTGAGCCATTCAACTGTTGTATGGTAAGGTAAGTCAGGATATTCGGCTTCTATCTCTAATAAAAAGTCACGAAACTGACAATGACCAAGTAAAGGTACCAATGACACAACTGGATCTATAACACATCACAGATTGAGATGTTTCCCTCAAATAGCCTGCAGATGAATAATGCAACGAATTACCAAAGTTGTGAATATTTAGCTTCTTTACAAGCCTTCAGAATTTATCCATCCCTTCCCCGTTTTACAATTTTATGACCATCAGTTGTGACGCATTTTAAGATTTCATTGCAAATCTGAAAAACTGTGTAAGCGTTTCCTAGACTTCCTTGAAGAGGTCTTCGCCTGTAGTTGTTACATGCAGATTTTTCATACAAGCTATTTCTTCATTCACCTTAAAATCAATATTGACTCCTCGATTAAGCAATAGCAATTGGGTAGTATCAGCAATTGGCTGTTTATGAGTGGGTAGATACCCACTCATAAACAGCCAACCAAATCATGTGAAATATTTTTATTTTGTCTCTTCTTGATTTTTGATGTGGCCCGCGACAATACTGTAGCTAGGATTTAATTTCGGGAGAGGGGTTATGACATTTATGTAAAACTATTATTTTTGTAACTGTATTCTATTCATAAACTGAAACTCCAGTTTCGGGAGGAGGGAGCTGCCGTCCCTTCAGCTACTACCTAAATACGATTATGGCTCTTGATATCCTGAACTCTTCTGCCAGTTGTTTTCGTCGAAAGACTGACAATTCGAAGCAAATCCATTTTCTTTGGGCACATTTCTTGGCTGCTACAAGGAAGCATCATTAAATAAATTTACCATAGGTAAATGAAGTCTTTTCGTGGCTAATAAATAAGATATTTGTAAACTGACTCCAGTTACTGCTTCATTATTATTATTTTCTTTATTTTTACGAGTAAATTGTTGTGTGATAAAACATTAATTATAAATCCAATCATTTATTTTCTGTGAATTTTGTGTCGCGGGCTTAGTTTGGTAATGACGACGTATACTGTATTCTTTATTTTTTCACAGTTATTATGCCCATTACATAATAAACATTATACTTTATCAAAATTCGATATCTGGTCATTAAAGTAACATGGCAGCGGTGGGTAACAGATAAAATAAAATGGAAAGAACAGAATAAAAAAGCGCCGTTTTAAATAAGACACATGCGATACTAAAGCAAAACTGAGAAAACGGGCAAAATTGTTCTGAGGTAACAGCCGACAACAGAAACCGAATGTGAGATGTCAGTACAGCCATGTGCGGTCATTATTCACAACTTCTCAACCTGTCAATCAGTTGTTGCATTAAAAAGCATAATTTGATTTATTTTGAAATTTTTAAATCTAAAAAAGCAATATTAACCTACGGGTCGGATTAAAAACAGGCGACAGGCTGATCTGGCCCGCGGACCAACCCCTGGTAAAGACAACCCCTGGTAAAGACAGCATAACATTCATACAATCAGTTCTTTCTATTTTAAAATTTTAAATAACTGCTTTTAAACTTTTAAGAGCAAATAAACCGTTTACCATTTTCAAATTTCTACTGAACTATACCTCTCAATAAAATTAGGGTAAAATGCAGTATAAATGTAAAATTACTAAGTAAGCATAATAACTTAAGAAGCAACTGTGATAGAAGACGCAATATGATAAGTTAACGCTGCATAAAATTTTGGCAACTACGTAAATTTGCTTTTATGGATAAATTTTGAATGTTAATATAGTACTTGATAGAAATTACGTTTTAACTTAAAGCTAACTGGATCATTAATACTGCGCTAAAATATTTATTTTGCGGAATATTTAACTATTCTTCTTCAATATATATAAAGTTTCAAGATATATGT